CCAGGTCGCCGATTTGTACGAAGAGGTCGACGAGGATAGCTACAAGAAGATTGTCCGAGACCGCCTAAACGAGGACGACTTCGTCGTCGACGACAATGGCGAGGGATATGCCGACGACGGCCGCGAGGAATGGGACCGTGTCCCCGCATACGAGACCGAGAGCGAGGACGACTTGCCTGGGCGTGGCAAGGGCCGCAAATGTTAGCTCCATATATCCTCAGCTCTCTGTTAAACACATGCTTACCTCTTTGTAGCCAAGAAAAGCCGTGACGAAGAGCAGGCGAAGCGGGATGCAAATGACCGGGACATATCCGAATACTTCACAAAAGGAGCTACCAAAGTCCAACCCAAGCCCAAGGTATGCTTCTCTCAGGATACCACGCTCTGGAGACAGAGAACTGATGCTTAAAATACAGGTGATCAAAACGGAGGACGACGAGAAATTCCTGGCCGATCTCCTCGGTGAAGTCGACACCAACATCCCGGCGCCTCTACCACGAACGTCCAAGAAGAGAGAAAGGTCACTCGAACGACCACGAAGAGCTCGTGTCGTCTCGCCCGCCCCTGAAACCCGGCGTCCGTCAGCGAAGAAGGCAAAGGTTGATAACGACCGGCTACCACCCACGCCCACCGAAGACACTTATATGGACGACGACGCCTACCTGCCGAGCCTCGACGATGAGCAAGCTGCTGCTGAGCCACCCACGAGCGATCCGGCAGCTCCCTCCTCACCTGTTGTCAAAGCTGTGGAACGCAAGTCACAAGTCAAGTCCGAGCCACAAGACGATGAGGACGTTGACGACCTTATGGAGGTCGCTCACGCCCGCACCATCAAAACGGCCAGTGTCAACCTGTCGGCGTCGCGGGTGAAGAAGATAATCAAGTCCGAGCCATACCCTACGCCTGCGAACTCCTCTCCAGAAGTGGCCCAGACCGCTGTCGACTCCTCATCATGGAACCAGATCAACGACAAACTGAATCTTGTCAGCAGCCCACAGCCAGAGACAAGGTCGCTCGGCAAGCTGGACTACAAGGATGCAATCGAAGAAGACGGAAGTCTCAACATGTTCTGGACTGACTACACCGAGGTTAACGGTAGCCTCTGCCTGTTCGGAAAGGTCCTCAACAAGAAGTCCAAGAACTATGTCAGTTGCTTTGTCAAGGTCGATAACATCCTGAGGAAGCTGTTCTTCTTGCCGCGCGAACATCGTGTCCAGGACGGCGAAGCTACGTCAGACGAGGTTGGCATGACAGACGTCTATGCCGAGGTTGACACCCTCATGAACAAGATGGGCGTCACCATGTTCAAGAGCAGGCCTTGTACGAGAAAGTACGCCTTTGAGTTGCCGGGGATTCCCAAGGAAACGCAGTATCTCAAGGTCTTCTACCCCTACACCAAACAGCAGCTCGACCCGTCTCTGACTGGCGAGACCTTCTCTCATGTGTTCGGCACCAACACATCACTCTTCGAGCAGTTTGTATTGTGGAAGAACATCATGGGCCCTTGCTGGCTGAAGATCAAGGATGCCGACTTCGGTGCTCTGAGGAACGCGTCTCACTGCAAGTTGGAAGTTCTCGTCGAACACCCCAACATGGTTTCGACCTTGAGTGAGGGAGACAGCCTTGAGGCTCCCCCTCTCACTCTCATGACAGTCGCCATGCGCACAGTCTTCAACGCCAAAGAGAACAAGCAAGAGATTCTTGCCATCAGCGCACGGATCTACGGCAATGTGTCGCTGAGCGATACTACGCCAGCTGAGAAGCTGCCGTGCAGGACCTTCACACTCATTAGGCCAAATGGCACTGCTTTCCCCCTCGGCTTTGAGAGGCTAGTCAATTCGAGGAAGAAGGGGCTAATCAAGCTCATGAAGCAAGAGTCGGAGATCCTGAGCTTTTTCTTGGCACAGATCGACGTCGTCGACCCCGACGTGATCATGGGCCATCAGCTCGAGGGTGTCGATTATAGTGTTTTGCTTAGTCGTCTCCATGAGAAGAAGATCCCTCAGTGGTCCCGCTTCGGCCGGCTAAGACGATCACAATGGCCGTCCTCGATAGCTAAGATGGGCGGTAACGTCTTCGCCGAACGTCAAGTCATGGCCGGTAGGCTTCTGTGCGACCTAGCCAACGACGCTGGCAAGTCCACCATGTTCAAGTGTCAGTCATGGAGCCTTACAGAGATGTGTAACCTGTATCTCCCAGGGGATAACCAGCGGAGAGAGGTCGATAACGAGGTTGCCCTGAAGACCTGGGCGACCACTCCAAACGGCCTTATGGATTATGTCTCGCACATGGAGGCTGACACGTACTTCATCACCGCTTTGGCGCTCAGAGTCCAGATTCTGCCGCTGACCAAGGTCTTGACGAACCTTGCTGGCAACTCGTGGGCAAGGACACTCACAGGAACACGTGCCGAGCGGAACGAGTACATTCTGCTGCATGAGTTCCACCGCAACAAGTACATCTGTCCAGATAAGCAGGCCTTCAAGGGCCGCCAGCGCGCAGACGAGGAGAACCAAGACGAAGACAATGCGGACACCAAGAAGAAGGACAAATACAAGGGTGGTCTTGTGTTCGAGCCCGAGAAGGGTCTATACGACAAGTTTGTGCTTGTGATGGACTTCAACTCGCTGTACCCTTCCATCATTCAGGAGTTCAACATCTGCTTCACCACAGTGGATAGATCGTCTATTGTAAGTTAAGGTCCTGGAGCATTTCGAGCTGGCTCATACTGACGACCCATCTAGTCTGATGAAGAAGACACAGTCCCAGAGGTCCCCAAGACCCCTGAACAAGGCATCTTGCCGAGGCTTATCGCAACTCTTGTAAGCAGGCGGCGAGCAGTCAAGAGTCTCATGAAGGACAAGAGCGCCACCCCCGAGCAGCTCGCGACGTGGGACATCAAGCAGCTGGCCTTGAAGCTCACAGCCAACTCTATGTATGGCTGTTTGGGTTATACAAAGTCGCGGTTCTACGCCAGACCACTCGCTGTCCTGACAACTTACAAGGGCCGTGAAATTTTGAGAAGCACCAAGGAGCTTGCCGAGAGCAACTCGCTGCAGGTCATCTACGGTGACACTGACTCTGTCATGATCAACGCCAATGTTGACAACGTGGCCGATGCGCTCAAGGTCGGCAACGAGTTCAAGAAAGCTGTCAACGAGAGGTACAGGCTGCTCGAGATTGACATTGACAACGTCTTCCGCCGCATCCTACTCCAAGCCAAGAAGAAGTATGCAGCGATAAACATGGTCGAAGTCAACGGCAAGTTCGTCGAGAAGATGGAGGTCAAGGGTCTGGACATGAAGCGTCGCGAGTACTGCGGTCTCTCCAAGGAGATCTCGTCGCGGATCCTCAACGACATTCTCTCAGGCGACGACACCGAAGTAGCCATCCAGCGCATACACGAGTACCTCCGTGAGATCTCGGCCAAGATGCGCGAGAACGCAATCCCCATCCAGAAATACATCATCTACACGCAGCTCGGCAAGGCGCCCAAGGAATACCCCAACGCGGACAGCATGCCGCAAGTACAAGTAGCTCTGCGTGACCTGGCCCGCGGCAAGAATGTCCGCAAGGGAGACGTCATCTCCTACATCATCACAGGCGACAGCAAGCAGACCTCGGAACCAGTCGCAAAGCGCGCCTACGCGCCAGGCGACGTAACCAAGGCCGACTCCGGGCTGAGCCCAGACGTCGAGTGGTACATCGGCAAGCAGATCTTCCCGCCCGTCGAGCGTCTATGCGCCAACATCACGGGTACCTCCACCGCCCAGCTAGCGGAGAACCTCGGCCTCGACATCCGCCGCTACAACACGAGCAGCAACCACAACTCGGGCTCCGGATCCAACGATCTCGAAATCCACCCCCTCGAGTCCCAGATCCCTGACGAAGTCCGCTTCGCGGAATGCACCCGCCTCTCCCTCCGCTGTAGGGCATGCAAGACCTCCTCCCCCTTCGAGGGCCTCCTCGGCACACCAGCCTCAGCCCTGGAGAAGCGCGTCTCGGCCGCCGGCCTAACATGCCCGAACTGCTCAGCCACGCTCTCGACCCTCAGCGTCGTCGCCCAGGTGGAAGCCGCCGTCCGCGCGGCGGCAGCGCGCTACTACGAGGGCTGGCTCGTCTGCGACGAGGCCACCTGCGGCAACCGCACGCGGCAGATGAGCGTGTACGGTACCCGTTGCCTGGGACCCAAGGGTCACGCGCGCGACTGTCTGGGCCGGATGCGCTACGAGGTCGGCGAGCGGGACGTGTACAACCAGATGGTGTACTTCGCGAGCCTGTTCGACGTCGACAAGGCCAAGACGCGGGCTGCGGCCAAGGACGGCGACGGGGCGGAGGTTACGCCCGCAGAGCGAGAGCGGATTCTCGCTCTTGCTGAGCATAATCGCACCAGGTTCGAGACTGTCAAGGGGGTTGTGGATCGGTACCTCGAGAAGAGCGGCCGGCGGTGGGTGGCGATGGGTCCGCTCTTCTATAACAAGCTGAAGTTGGGTGCGCTGGCAGCTGTTGCGGTTGGTGCTTAATGATGGAGTGGAAGCTGGATGGTTGTCCTGATGAGTCACTGTGCGTTATGATTGTGCTTGGATGGTATTTGGATGCATGATGGTCTGCTTTTTAGTAGCTCCGTTTGAGCCATGCGTGCTTTGGTTACCGGCGTTCAGGTGTAGATGTGTCTTCAACTTTCATATACAAACTTGTTGATATGCTTGATCGTTCCAAGGCTATTATTATGCGGTCCTAACTAACTATCTGCTGAATATATTTGTTGGGGTGAGAAAAACAGCTTGGACAATTACACCAAACCTAAATGATGGGCTCATCATCATGTTTGAGTGCCCCTGAACACCTGTCGACACCTGGTGTCTTCTGAAATTTTCCAACTGTCTGGAGGCCTGTGTTTGCCTTCTCTACCACACAGCACCACGATCAAGAATTGCCAAAGCACACAAGATTCTATAAAAAAAATAAGACAATCTCATATAGTCCATGGGCAAAAGGATTGCGCCAGCCGCGAATCGAACGCGGGGCCCATCGAGATGTCACCGAGCCTCAGAAGAGGCTCGTAGTGATGGCAACGATGGATTTTACCACTAAACCACTGGCGCTGGTTGTGCTTGTATACCTTGTTGAGCCCTTAACCCTGCCTATCAACCTAGCCCACAAAGTGGAGGTGAAAAAAAAAAGTCTTACTTCCGGTGCTTACTTGGTATTAATTTGTGGCACACACGGGGGGCTTGCATCACTTCAACTTGCCCCAAAAGTTTGCAGAGTCTAACCAACGCACTTGATAGACTTGATGGCACAAAGTCTTACCACCTCATGACAGAAGTGGCATGTAGAAGTCAAGAAATACAGCTAAGATAGAAGAAATGACGCATGTCCGACGTGTTCTTCGTACTGGAGGATGGATGGCTGAGTATAGAGCTTCACAATTTCACTGCGGGCAAAGAGCATGATCAGAAGTTAGCTTATCTGGAAGCAAGATGCTAGCCAACGACTATTCTTCCTCTTAGGTCTAGTCCTGTTACCGAGTCCTTGTAATCTTCAATCAGCCGGCCTGAGTCGCAAGTCGTGAAGTCATGAAAGACACGAGAACGAAAGCTGGGGACACCAGGTACCGTTCTGAATACACACCTTCACTAAACCAGGACCGTCTGAGAGCAAATATAAAGCCATCATCACTGTGACTGAAACAAGGTTGTGTAGGTCGAGCGGGTGCAACACGTTTGCTCCTTCAGCCCTCTCTCGCCAGCAAGTGAGGAAATCTGTACCATCGTTGAGCAGGGAGACATAGGCTCACACCAACTCGAGATTTCCCTCATGCCTTGCATGTTCACCGCACATATTGCCGAAACCCAAGAAGGTAGGGCCGAGAGACACAATCACACGGGGCAGAAAAGTAGACCTAGAGGTATTATAATTTGAGTAGTTGCCGTTGGCATATCCCTCTTCCTGCCATGAAAAGCTAAACGGGGAAAAGATGCACGCGAGACTTTTCAATGAGAGAGAAAACACGAGCCGCAGATAATAATCACAGTGAAGAAGCGAAAAGTGTTCCCCCCATAAACTCCGCTGTGAGAAAGAGAAAAGAGACGAAAAAAATCTTGAAATACAAGCAGCTCCCCCTTCCACACGCATCTATGAAAATGTTCAAGGTATCAAGAAGGGGAGGGGAAGATCTGCGCGCGACTGTATTAACACAATTTTGTATACCCCCTGTCGCCTGCAAATGCAAAAAGACCAAACCCGTCCGGTCTATCCATGCAAGACACCGTAATGCAAGGAAATGTGAGCTCAAGCCTCCTTCTTCTCTTCGCCCTCCAAGGAAGCCTTGGTCAGGGCGGGGGAAGCCTTGGTTGACGGAGGTGAGGCCGGGTGATCGGCACTGTCGGCGAGTAGGCTGTGAGGCATGTTAGCATATCAATGTCGCGACACCGTGTGAGTACAAGGGGAAAGCGACATACCCGAATGCATTTGTGTGAGCAACTGCTGTGGGCGGCGTGCCAGTCCGAGAAGACGCTCCAGAATCCTCGCCGGGACGTCCAAAGCCACCGCCAGGAACCAGACGACGACCACTGTTGCTCCGGGAGCTGAACATCGAGGTTGGACCAAACGAGGCGCTGGTGCTAGGCGTACGCGTGGCCGAGCCCTTGAGGCGGCGTAGGTCGTCAGAGCCAATCTGGTTCTGCAGAGCCTGGTTGTATGCGGAGAAATTTCTTGCGTCTCCCCTGCCCGCCTGCGGCCGGCCACCACCGGGACCTCCTCTCTGGTTGCTACGTGCGCTCTCAGCTGCCTTTTGGGCAGCGGCAGCCTCAGCCTGTGGAGATGTTAGCATCGTGAAGGGTTCTGTTTGTTGACAGACATATCAAAGACTTACCTCAGCTTGGATCTCCTTCAGAGTCTTAGGGCCCTTGTTGGCCTCCTTTGATGCCCAGTTGGCCTTCCGCAGGTCGACGACGTCCATCAACATGAACTTGAGACGGCTGGGGAGGTTCTCGAGGTCCATGATGCTCTGGATGCGCTGGAAGTAGGCGTCCATCATACCTCTGCCCTTATCAGTGCTGTCAAGGTTGCCGCCAATCGTCCGCAGCAGCTTGGTAAGCGACTCAATCTCAGCCTCATCAGGAATGCCCTGGAACTCAAGGAGCTTGCGGACACACTCGTGCATGATACGTTCCGTCAGCATGCCGAGCTTGAAGAGTTCACCGATGAACTGGACGAGACCCAGACCGCGCCGCTTAGCAGCAGCAGCGATGTAGTACTCGTCAGACAGGAGCGCAGCCTCGCCCGCCTTCTTGCCCTCCACGTCTGCCGGCTGCTCAGGCAGGTCAACCTTCCAACCCCTCTCGAACTCTTCCTGGCATCGGTTGAGAAGATACTTGCGGAATAGAGCGCCGCCGCTGACAACGTTGCCGTTCTTGTCTAGAATGCTCTCGTCGCGAATCTCAGGGCTCATCATCTCAAGCATGCGCTTGCAGAACTTGGCATACATTGAGGCCCAGTGGGCCTCGTCTGTCGCCTTTTCGAAGGTAAGCTGGATAACTTGGCGGAGAGTGCGGCCATCCTGTTCGTTCTTCGATTGTCCAGCAATAGTAAGAATCTGATCCGAGATCTTGTCGAACTTCTCCGGGGTCATCTTGTTCAGAGCTGCCTTGACCTTTCGTTGCACCATCTCCGGGTCCAGATGGCCTTGCTGAGCAAGGGCAGCAATTGGTGCTTGAGCAGCCTTGTTGCCGATGCTCGTCGGTTTCCAGCCCGAAGCCGTGACAGCGATGGGCTTGAGTTCTTGTCCTGCAGTGAGAGGCATGTTCTTCGCGTTCTGGGCACTGCCACCAAAGGTGTCCCTCTTGCTGCCGCCACCGCCACGTCTGCTGCCTTGGCGAGGCGAGTTGGGCATACCACCGGCGTTGGCAGATGATGGTGTCCTGGACATGCCCTGAGAGCTGGGGAAGCCACCGCGACCACCAAAAGATGCCATAGGGTTACCCATGGCTGGTCTGGAGATCTGGCCCTGCGACATAGCAAAGCGCTCCGCCGAAGTGGTTCCGGATCCCAGAGGCAGGGGCTTAGAGGCGAATTGGCCCATAGAGGGGAATCCGCCAGCAGGCCCAGCCTTGGAGGCAGAACGTCCTGTTCCGGGACCGGCAGACCTAGTGGACGCCGACCTAGAGCCGCCATCTGGGTCGCCAATGAGGGTCTTGATTTGCTGGTGGAATTCGAGTGATGGCTCCTCGGTGAACACCTTCTGGAACTGGAGGAGGAACTGGGCGTCATACTTGAACGACTTGTTCTTCCGGGTGACCGCTGAGTTCAATGCTGGGTTGGGAGACGAGAAGCCGCTCGGGTAGATCTTGGGGTCGTACAGTTCTTTCTTATCGAGCCAACGAGCAGACTTTAGCGATTGAAGAGCCGCACTTGGTTGAGGAGGCTCCACCGGCTTCGAGGGGACAACGAGGTTCAATGCCGCAGGCTTAGTCCGAGCCTTATCGCTGCCGCCGGTCTTGGGAGCGGGAGTCGAGACACTGCTGTCGGTGGTGTTGATGTTGAGTTTCGCCAGCTTGTCAGCAACAGAGCTAGGCGTCGGAGCCTTGAGATCCTCGATCTTCTTGGCGAGAAGGTCCGAAACAGACTCTCCGTTGCCGGCAGCGGCCTTGGCTTCTCTCTCGGCCCGTTGTCGCTCACGCTCCTCCTCAAGACGTTCCATCTCACGCTCTTGCTCTCGAAGCTTTGCGTCATTCTCGGCCGCGAGCTTCTCTTTGTCAGCGTCGGCGCGCTTCTTGGCTTCTTCGGCGGCCGCCTTCTTCTTGAGAGTCAACTCAGCCTGCTCTTTCTCCCGCCTGGCGTCCGCCTCTTCCATCTCGCGGATCATGCGCTCGAGTTCCTCATCCTCAGTCTCCGTAGGCTTGTCGGCCTTGGACGCTTGCTCTTCCGCGGCGGCTGCAGCCTTGGCATCGGCCTCTGCTTTCGCCTTTGCTTCTGCCTCAGCATCAGCCTTGGCCTTCGCTTCGGCTTCGGCCTTGGCTTTGGCCTCGGCTTCCGCTTGCTGCTTGGCCTTGGCCTCTTCTTCAGCCTTTTTCTCGGCCGACAAGCGTTCAGCTTCCTTCGCTCGCTGCTCTTCTTCCTTCTTAGACTTCTCTTCGGCGGCGGCCTTCTCTCCGGCAGCAGTAGCGGCAGCAGCCTCGTCCGCCTTAGCCTTGTTCTCGGTCGGGCCTTCGCTCCCTTCGGCAGTCTTTCGGACGAGCTCCGCAAACTCACTCTTGATTTGCTCAGCCGTCTTGCCGCCGGTGACGGAAGCACTGTCAGTTCGAGTATGAAGGGGAGTGGACGGCTTTGGAGGTGGTGTCGGCGTGGATGCGACAACAGGAGGTGTTGAAAGATGACTAGCTGCGGCGGGTGATGCGGGAGCCTTGATTTTGTCCAAGTCGAGAACATCACCTGATGGAGTCTTGATGACGATCCTCTTGTTCTTTGGTGCCTGTCGAGAGGTCCCTTGAACGATGGCAGGAGGTGTCGGCTGCGACGAGCGCTGGGAAGGTGTTTGTGCAATCTGTGGGGCTTGGGTATGACCAGTACTCGAGGACGGTCTCTCGGAAACCTGTGATGAGTTACGTGACATGGGTTGCGCGGCAGGGGGACCCGGTTGATACGGGTTGACAAAAGGCTGGTTGAAGCCTGGCCCGGACGCTGGAGGAGCCTGGTTCATATATGGAGGCTGACCTCCATATCCAGGGAAAGCACCCATCGAATAGGGGCGACCGTACGGGTCGAAACCCTGATTGGGATAGACGCCCATTTGTCCCATCTGCTTCTTTGCGGTTAGCAACTTTTCAAAATTGCCACTCTCAGGCGATAGATTTATCTCTCCTGTGGGCTGAAGAATAGAAGAAGAGCGAAAGGGAACGTAATCATAGGGAGGTGGTCCGCCCGGACATGGAGGTGGAAGAGAGAATCCACCAATGTCAGCATTCCACTCCCGTCTTGGCTCGTCACGTCTGCTGCTGTTCATGCTGGGCCGACGAGAGCCGTTGAACTGGTAGAAAGACTTGTTCTGGTTGTGGTGCTTGTACGAAGAGCTGGGCTGTCGAGCACTATAAGAAGATCTCTC